GGGATTTTTTTTAATACAGATTTCAGTTTCATCAATAATTTTCTATGATTAACCTCGCCGAACATTTCTTGAGGTCTAAAAATATGACCACAACCTATTTTTACGGTTCAGAATCTCAGAAAAATCATGCACGACTTCAATAAGCTGAGTGATGGTGGACAGACCCTTACGAAAGCCGTGCTGGGAGCTGTTTAAAAAGTAATGATTTCCAAAAAAGAATGTATATGACTAGAGATTATATATTCAAAAAGCTCCCAGACGTTGGTGTTAATGAGGTTGGCCTGTAGTTGTTGGCGTAACTGCCTTTACCGGACTTCAAATCAGGTACGGTTTTACCAAACTTCCAATCATTGGGCAGTAAATCTGGTGACAAAGATTTCTCAAATACGGTAAGAGTATAGTTAGACAGTATTCATCTTAAATTGTACGGCCTCCAATGTATGTCAATTTTGTCTACACCCTCATTTGCCGATTTAAGTTGCCGCAAAAAGTTGCGGGGAGATGAAATCAGGAAGGCTGGTATAGTTAGGTTCTAATATTTATGTTTCGCAGCTGTAATAAGAGTTTTCAGGTTTTAATTGAGCACCGCGAGTCTATCACTTCTACTCGAGGGTATTCGACCAATCTGTGCTCTACAGCGCGAGATCATGTCAAATCGAGAGTACGAAGAAACAGCTAGGAAACGGCCAATGTTTCGTCGTTAACACTTCCCGTCTCTGATTTGTTCTTATATTGAAGTAAGCAGTGTAGTCCCTTTACAGCCATCGTAAAAATAAAACGCGTGTTAGGGATGACAAAAATAATTATCACATACATGCAACTTGTGACACTTTCTAACGTTTTCAAGAATGTCTTCGGAAATTACGTCACCAGTTAAGGAAGCGAGGCGGCTTGACTTGGGGAAGAGGACACACATTTTGACAGACTCCTGCCATCGGGCACCAAAAATAATTTTTTCTCGATGATTTTTTTTGGCCCGAGCTTGAGACGCTTAAAAATCTATTGATATTGTGGTGGACTCTTGGAAACAAGGATAAGATTGCAAACAATCAGCTTTATTGTAGCCGGCGAGAGGCGTGCGGTGGTGTCTTGATTGCCGTCTACTGTAGATGTCGTGGGCAACTTTGAAAGTTTTTGGGTTTAATTTTGCAGAGGTCACAAAACGTTGATCTTGGGTGTTTGCTATTGTCCCTCTTCGTTTAGTGCCATTTTTGTTTCACGATTTGCATGATGCAATCAATACAATTATTGTACTTTTTCCAAATGTTTCACCAATGTTACTAGGCAATTTCAATTATCCAAATATTTTGTGCTCGAATACACCTCACTATATTTGTCCCCTTCCTACTGAATGTAGCAATTTTTTTTAAATATGTGTGCCGATTTCAATCTGTCACCAGTTAAACCGAGCCAATCCGAGTTACGCCAACGTCATCGAGTGTTTTAGATCTCCTATTGATTAAATCGCATGATCTTATCACTTTCTTTAATTTACATGCCAAGTTTAAGCGACCATTCTTCACTTCACATTAAACCTTGCTGTTTCTGACCATGACACCCACAACAAATATATTAGGGATTATAAAAAGGCGGACTTTGGTGCTATTAATCAAGAGCTATGTCTGTTTCTAGATGTGTTTTTACAAGAGTTGAATGAGAGGTGTATAAATATGAACTGAAATTTCTTTAAAATAAAGTCGCTTCACTCACAATTATGTCGATACTTCTGTAAAATATCAAATCAAACAGAAAAGCAAGGTGTTTTAACGAGTCGTTTAAAGGACAGTCTAATAAAAAAAAATGGTTGTTTCGTTTCGCTAAGCTATCCAACTCCCAGTCTACTGGTTTGCAGCTCCCGATTACAAAATAGCACTAAAGAAGCAAAAGATTCCTGTTTTAGTCACACCTTCCCTTCATTACTTGTCAACAATCCTAACCAATTCTGGAATGGTGTGAACAAGTCTGATGCGTATGTTATCACATTTAAAAGTTGAGATGGTACAGTAATTTCTAGCGGTGAATGTGCTAGTGTTCTTAACACAGTGTTTGTTTCGGCGTTTTCTAGCCATGTGAATGCTATTTTTCATGTCTATTAAACCTTTGCGTTTTACCCCACAGATGAAGTTCTTAACGACACGGTTGATATTGCATGAATAATTGAGAAACAGCAGATTTTTTATCCTCTAATGTCGATAGTATCAACTATAAATTTTGATCAATACAAAGATTCATAGCCCTATAATTATGACTAAACTGTTTCAACAATCATTTGATACGGTTTGTATACCCGAGGATTGTACGATCGGGAAGGTGATTCCTTTGCAAAAATCAAGCGACCGTCCCCCCCCCCCCCCCCCCAAGCATTGTCCACCTGTGTCACTCCCAAGCATTTTATGTAAAATCATTGTTCATGTCATTTACTCTCATCTTGCAAGTTCAAATTATTTTTTAAATTCATCCCAGCATGGATTTTGTAAGTCATTTTTGATGCGAGACTCAGCTTTTGTGTTTCACACATCATCTACATTCCATTCTTGATCGTGGAAACTTGAACTGTATATTCCTGGATTTTTCAAAGGCATTCGACAAAATGTCCCACGAACTACTCTTCCTCAACCTGACAAACTTAACTTAGAGACCAAAGATCTTGCATGGTTGCACTCTTCCCTCAATAGTCGGTCCCAATTTGTGCCGGCTGACAATAATAATTCTATCGTTTCTCTAGTTGGCTCGGGTGTACCCCAAGGCTCCGTTCTCATGCCCTTACATTTTCTCATCTATGTTAACGGCATGCCCGCTAATGTATGCTTATCTGTCGGTCTCTTTGCTGATCATTGTGTCATATCTCGCGAAATTAACAAAGATTCTGATGTCTTTATTCTTCAGTCAGATATCAACCATGTTTCCGAAGTGGTGCGATTTGAGGAACATGGAAACTAAATATTATCTATGCGTGCTTCCCGTCTTGGTACTACAAGTGCTTCTTACCAACTAAACAATATCTCTCTCGAAGCCGTATCATTGTATAAATATCCGGGGGTGCATATATCTGCCAATCTGCCCCGGTCGGATCATATTGAACTTGAATAACCCCAACCACACGATGGGCTATCTTCGGAGAAATTTTTGTCTTGCTCCCAGCTGGTTAAAATTACTTCTATAAAAAAATATTGGTTCGTACAAAATTAGAATATGCTGCTTCCGATTGGGATCCAGGTGTAGTATCACTTATCTTTAAATTTGAAGCGATTCAGAGCGGCGCATCTCGTTTCGTCCTTTCAAATTATCATCGTACATCTAGTGTGTCCGCAATGAAATCTAACTTCTCTTGCTTGGTAGAAGAGCGTGTTGGTTTAAGTCATGGACGAAGAAAGAATAAACAATTAAAACAGGGACAACACAACCACATCTTTCATGAAAGATGTGGTTGTGTTGTCCCTGTTTTAATTGTTTATTCTTTCTTCGTCCATGACCTAACTTCTCATTACCTCTTCTTTCGCAACGTAGAAAAGTGTTCCGTCTATGCTTGTTTCAAGAGATGATTCTGAAAGAAAGACACCTCATTACGTTTCAGCACGCATCGATCATCGTCATAAAATTGACATACCCTGTGGTAGCACAGAACATTTTTTTAGTCTTTCATTCCTAGCACCTCAGGAATGTGGAATCCCCTTGCCAGAGCAATCGCCAAAATCCCTAATACCAAGTGAGTAAAAAAAAAAACAAAAAAAAAACTGCTGTTTTAATCATTCTTTTTTTTAAAGAATAACATGTTTTTGTTTTATGCTGTATGCTGTGTCATTTTATCTAATACAGAACCCACTCTCCTCTCTAACCCTTCTGGCATCGAGGGTAAATAAATAAATGAATACATCTGCGCACTGCCTCGTGCTAGTGGAGTGGAAACCGGTGCACTTGCTTCAAAAAAGCAAAGTGCGACGTTGATAGCACTCACGAAAGATAATATTCACAGTGTTAGGTAGGCCGATGTAACCAACAGCTGCAAAACACACAAGCAATAGCAGCCGACGCGTTGACACTCACTGCGTTCCTTGAAATGCTCCCAACGCCCCTGTTCAAGGCGCCATCGTGCGGCACCCGCGCGCACCGGGACCAAGCCTCGGCCTTCGCTTTACACACCAGCCCTTCTAGAAAACCTTAGCCGAGTGCCGTCAAGTCGGGGAGGAAAGGAGACGCGAGTTTGTCTCTTCTTTTTTTTTTTTTTTGTGCAAAACTGGATGCAACATTACGAAAACGGATCCCTGCTCCGGGCTTCGTAAACATTAACGTTTCATTCGGGTCGTATTTCGTAAAAAGTTAGAAAATTATTCGATGGTTTATTTAAGTGTATGTGTCAAGCGAACCTGCTTTTGCATCAAAATTAAAACATAAATAGCCTCGAAATGTTTAATAAAACACGTACTGGCGCAAGGTACACCTGTCAGGTAAAGCATAGGCCTAACTATCGTGTTGCTATACTGTTTAGAAGTTCTACGTAAGTTTATGTAGTATAGGCAGCATTTCAAGTTTTCGTAACGGTTTGCAGAAAAATAAAACTGCTCAGGGGGATATGACTTCTTCTTGCAAGCCTCGTTGTTTTCCCCGAAACGGGGGAAAATTCTAGAACTCATAAGTTCTCTCCTTCGTTGGAGCTTACGTCCAGACGAAGCCGACGTTACGAGCTCATGGGACTGATCGGGCAGCGTGAAAAGCGCGAGTCACTGGGCCTTTTTTGTTTATGACTGGTTCAGCGATGATCTGAACACCATGATGGTGTCTCTCTCTGATTGGTCCCATCAGCTCATAGCGTCGGCTGCATCTGGATCTAAGGTAGAACAAAGTATAGCAAAGTGTGTATCGTGACGTGTACCCGCTCTGGGGAGGAACAGACCCAACAATGTAACGAGACTCAGATTGAATAGCTTGGGAGCGCGAACAGAGGCGAACAATTGTCCTCTCTTTGTGCTTCCAAGCGTCGGTAGCAAAAAACGCGTTCCTACCGTGCGGCCGGAAGTCAGCGAGATGCGTCTCGAGGGCACCGAAGGGCAGGCAGGGAGTCGAGCCCCGGTTGTGTGAGCCGAGCAGCTGACGGCCCGGACGCAAGCAGGGCGCGCAGCTGCCAATGCACCCCGTAGTGTGACGTCTGTGCTCCAAACAAACCGTTGCTAGGGACGTTGTTGTGCACGAGTACACGGGACTGGATTCCGCTCCGATAGAACGATTTGTCAAAAATCGGAAGTGGGATTTAAACGTCTAAATATAAGAGATAAAAGAAGCCTATATTTTATGCTTTCCATGACGGAAGTTCGCCGGGAGTCGGCTGTTTCTGAAATATTTGCAACGGCAACTTCCGATCCTCGAGACGTCGCCAGATGATTGTTGCAGACGGCGAATGCATGACGAATGCACACGGAATGACTCAAGTATGCTCTCTCCAACAGTTTGAATCGTTTTCCCGATCAAACGATTTTGATTTTCTATCTATTTCGAACATGACAGCCTAAGAAAACTAATGAGATTTATAAAAGGGAGTTGCATTTGCGCGCGATACGGGATACTATCTGACGAAAATCCTCACACGCACGAAGATCTGCTAAAGATACAGCGAGGAACGCATCTGTTTAGAACTTGATATCAAATCAACATCGGTCTCTCTTTTTGATTTTGCAGTTCATCTGCATTTTAATGCAAGAGCAATTATTTTGATTTTAGTATGAGTGGTTCGAGACCCAACTCCGTTTTTTATGGCTCGCGATATGGGTGTGGATCGTACCTTCGTAGTAATCATCAAACTGAGAATTAATGCTTTTGATTCTTCAGTTTTAAGCAAGACCCCAAGCGAGCATGACTGAGAAGGAGCGCTTTTTCGTGCCATTTAGTAGATTCCAGTTTACACTTACTCCGAGTGTAAGAGATATAAAGGAAAGAATGACCTCGGGCAGTCAACCTCGCCCTAGCTCACTAAAGAACATTCTAGGTCGAATGCTTGAGACCCCGAGTGCAGCAGACGGAGAGCCAAGCGCGGCTTTGTCGACTCACAGCCAGCTGTCGCGCTGACGTATCGTCACTCGCTGCTGCCACCGTCGACACACACCCTTCCTTTTGTTTCTAGGCACAAGTTTGCCGAATAAATCTTTATTTTTTATGTCTTACGCTCGTCGATCTGTTTCCATCTGCGACAATATACCGGTGTTATTTTGATTCGAAAGATATTTTAACAAGAAAGGGCGTCTTTACTGCTTCAGGAGTGCAGTCTTTATCATACGTTTCTTGAGTTCGGCAGACATTCGATGGCCGACCAGTTGTCACAGCCTCGTGAGTGATTATCTTAAATTCGTTCATTACCTTTTAATTACTAAAAATACATACGGTTCTAACTAGTAACTTGCTGAGCGTCATTTGAAACCACTAAATGAGTAATTTTTGGAAAGACTTTGGACGCTTGAGAGCGCCGTAGTGCGCTAAAGCTACCACTCGTGAAGCAGGAGCAAGGCTAGCGGTGCGATAAGGCGCCCGAGCGATTTTTCCATCTCTTATCTTAGCCCCAACCTTGTACCTGCTGCAAGAGTGGGAACTTTAGTGCGCCACTGCGCTTCTCACGCGCTCAACTTCAGTCTGCAAATGAGTGATTTAGTGTTTTTAAATGAGGCTCAGCAAGTTTTTACATGGAACCTTATGTTTATAAGCAACAATAAAAAAATTATATGACAAGTTTTAGTTTTTTACTTGCCAGACTGTGACAGTTCTTCGCCCCTCGAATGTCCGCCGAGCTCAAGAAACATACAGTTAAGATGGCATCCACGTAATACTAAATACGATTTTTTTTTAAAAATCTGTTTCGAATAAAATAAGCACCCTGTATATCTGTTACGGACAGTTCGTTTGATCACACAGATGTGCACTGGAGTAACTGTGCTGTCAGAACTTCTTGAAGCGTGTGCTGGCCTGTACTTCCACCTTGGTACACTTCCCGTCGTCGTTGTCGTCGTCGTGCGTGATTTGGGTTCCCAGTGTTTCGCTTCCTCAAACATTGCCGAAGTGAGCTCCGCGGGACGTCTTTCAGACGCTCGCGCACCTCAAGCGTCGATCAAAGCTGTACACGGGCGCTCTTGATCAAAGCTGTACACGGGCGCTCGCTTTCGATATCCTACGGACATTTGACCCCGAGAATAGAAGTTTCGTCGACCGTCACCAGCCTCATTCAAAACGGTCGTGTACTCCCTCAGAAAGTACTAAACTTCCGGAGTCAGTTGACCCTATAAGTGGCACTCCGCTCCAAACAAACTGTTGCTAAGGCCGTTAATATCAACAAATGCCTAGGTGCTCGACGTGAGGTTAGACATTGTCTGATAAAGAAGTAAATAACTTTTGCTAAGCCACGCGTCTTCCCAACATACCTTACTATTTCAGCTTGAAATGGTTTTGTTTTTAACTTATGGAACATCAGTGTTGCCGCTCCTACTGATTTATCCGTAGATCTACTCATTATTTCAGAATTCTGCAGATTCAGTCATAATACCACAGATTCCACTGATTTTTCTCTTTTTTGCCTACACGTGGTTCAAGACTACTACTGTTTGCTCCAAGGCGCGCCCTCGAGTAATTTCAGCGCACTTCGGCGGGTCATTTCACGTGCACGCGTGCGCGCGTGTGTGTGTAGGTGTTGTAAAAGGAAATGAGGGGGGAAAGTGAGAACCAATAGGGTGTACGCGCACTGGTGACAACTACTACTAAGCGTTGTGAAAGTAGATTGGGGGGGGGGGGGGTGACAATACAATGCAGGGAATCGTTAAACCAAACGCGGGAGAATTGGTCTATAAAAAGGGAGAGGGGAAGCAGGCTTGTCAAAGCTAGGGTCACTAAAGAGCGACGGCACGGTCGGCCATCTAATAGGGCACACCTCGCTTCGCGCTTTTCATGCCGTGCCGTATGCATCGCAGTTTGAGGGAATTTAATTTGCTGATAACTTCCGAAATAACGCGAAGTTTTCCACCACGATTTTTTCTCCGAGTTACCACGTTTCCTAAGGTATCCCAGTGCAAAATTTCGACCAGTCGAAAAATCATTGGAAGGCCCTTCCCTTTAAAACACCTCGGGATATCGGGATTTGGAAGAAAAATTCCGGCAACAAATTTTACACTCAAAGAACAAGAAGCGTGAAACTACTTGATTGGGCAGACTATAAAGCGATAAAGACTAAGCGATTTCTGGTAATCCTGTAGTTGTCGCGCGGCAGCTGACTTCCGGATATTGCAGGAAGAGGTCTTTTTTCACTGCTCCCTTTTGTTTTTTTGTGACTTTTTTCACATGTGCTCTGCCAATAATTAATGCAATGACCGTAAAACACAAACAAGCTCATAGAAAAAACATACTACCGAAATTTAGAAATCTACTGATTTTTGCTGATTTTTTAAGTTGAAATCTACTAGTATTTTGGGGGAGCTCTGGCAACACTGTGGAACGTGCGATTTAGGTTGTTAGACAGTGAAAATGTATTGTTTTCATGAGGCTTAAGTTGTTTTTCTTTAGTTGCCTATGCCTACTATTGTAAATCTATGAGAGGAACCAACCCTCTACCACCAGGACAGTTCTCAATGGCAGCCATTCAAATATTCAAATTGTTCTGGAACGTCGCATGGAGATGCTTTTTATTTACAATTATTTTTGTATTTAGAAAAAAAACACCTGTGCTTACAGCACCAAGCAGCTCCAAGATTTTCTTATACTGCTACGAAACTCGATTGTTGTTGCTCCTGAGCTGCTCCAAAGCTGAACTTTTACTGCTCCAAAGCTGCTCCAAAGGGGCATCTTTGCTGCTCCCAGACCTGCTCCACAAGGCTGAAGCTTGCTTCCACCCCTGGACAAGGCCTTCAAACTTTTAGGTTCGCAAAAGAGGTGCGTCAGTATTTGCGCCTCATTTTATATCAGGCCTCTCAATTTAAAACACACTATAAATGACATGCCTGATATTTGTTTGGGTGTACTTCCTCTCAGCAAGTACATGGTTCTGTCTCAAAAAGGTCTAATCTATTGTTGACCGCACCTCAGGTCTCCACCGACGATTCATCCGGACGAGACCCAACCGGGACAGTAGGGAGGAGCGGCTTAAGCAAGGGAGGCTACATATACGACAGCTTCTTGCGGACAAGGAACGAAAATAGATCGATGGTGGCTGTTTCATTTGCTATGCCTTTTGGCATGCACATTCTGTTTGTTGTGTTCCAAGATTCCTGCAGAGTTCAATTTCAACTATTCTAAAATACCGAGCATGCGTCCAGATCGCAGAAGCGCCTACTCCCTGTTTTCAGAACAATCCGCAAGTAAGCAAAGGGTATACCAGACACCCATCCACCTGTTTTCAGCCATGCCAGTGATGTGATTGCTGCTCCAATTGCGCCAAACTGCGCCAAGGGGCTAACCCTGCTACATTCTGCTACATTTTGCCGAAATATGGGTAATCTGTACCAAGCCCGCGCCAAAGGACCAATTTTGGTCGCCTTTCAAAACCGAAACTAAACTCAAAACTGTAATTGAGCATGCGTAAGCTAGGTGGCGCAAGCGGCCGCCCGATACAAACTACCCTGCATCAATCGCTCATCCGGTCTTTTATGCGTTTTCCCACCGTCTGTCGTTTCGCGCTCTCGTCACTCTCGTTGTCTCGCGTCTTTTAAAAAGAAATTTACGATGGACGCAGGCGTTTTATGACGTTCCGACGCTAGCGTGATGGGTACCAGCTATGCCGTCATGCTGTGAAACGGAACCCCGTTTTTGCGCGGCGAGAGTTACTTTTTGAGGTGAAGCACTCGCTCCTAAAAGCAACGACCTTGAGAAACCTTTTGAGCTCAAACACTCGCTCCTGAAAGCAACGGCCTTGGGAAAACTGTATTTGGTTCCTGCCTGCCAGTCACGCGACGTCGAGTGTTGCCGTCCCCATGTCGTTGCAGATATGGCGATTCCATCCTAAACTGAAACGTAAGGACTAGGGATGCCGCGAACTTTTTTCGAACCGAAGTTTCGACTGTCAAATCAAGCGGTCGAAAGGTTCGAAAGATTTCGTTTTTTCGATCTTTCTATATTGTAAAATTTGACCGTAGTCGAATTTTCGAACTTGTTAAACTAAGAAGTTCGACCCTTTTCGAACCATTAAACTTATGACGCCAAAAAGTTCTATCATTTTCGACCTTAATCCGCTGCAAAATTCGATGCTTGTTGAACTTTCGAACTTGATAGACCAGGAAATCGATGATTTTTGAACTTTTGAACTTCTGGCACTAAAAAGGTCGAAGCTTTTCGGACTTTCGAATTTTCTACGCTGAAGAAATCGATAATTTTCGAACTTTCGAACCTATTTATCAAGAAAATTCAAAGGTTCGAGCTCTCAAATCCTGAAATGTCAAAAGTTCGACAAACTTCGAACTTTTAGGGTGAAAGTTCTACGTTCGTCGAACTTCGAACGACTGGCGGACGGTTTCATTTGAATTCAAGTAGTGAAGTACATTTGTAATTTTTTCTTCTCGAATTTTTACATGCGGGGGGGGGGGGGGGGGGGGCGCGTTC